CTTAGAACTAGGGTAACGGAGTAGTGTTGTCTTAGTTTAGGTTTTAACTCATTGACTTTATTCCTCTCGTAGCTTGCTATCGTTGACTTCTGTGCATCATTCTCTTTAAGTTCCCTCTTTTAAATTTAGTCAGGACAAACGTTTCTATCTATATGCAGAGATTTTTACATAGGGATTTATTTGTAGGGATTACTTCCCATTACAGACGCATATGAAGACTGCATATGAATACTGTCCAACTATGTATTTATTTATTTATTTATACATGCATTGTATTTTATCTTTATTTTTAATTTTCTGACTGTCGGAGGTCTTCCACGGAAGCTGCTCTCAATCTGGTATTGAGGGCAGCTTACTACCCTACTCCCCCTTACCCCATTGCATATGGGAATATGGTTTTATTGTTGTTGTAAAATCTTAAATATGTCATTTTCAACCAACTGGGCGAAGACCCTGTCCTCTACCTATTGTAAAAACATGACACTAAAAACCAAAATTCAAAATTCATATGGTAAAAGTTAAAAACTAATAAAATTATTTTTTACATTTGTAATAATAGTAATATTTCCATTTATCTATCTATATATATAAACTTTTGATTTTACTAGAAATTGTCATTTTTTAATTTTTTGAATTTATTGTGTGATGTTTTTTTTACTGCTTTAAGTAACTTAACATTGTGTGAGGTGAGAAATGATACTTATCTAAAAACTTTTATAAGATATAACTTCATGTTGATTAAGTAAACTTTTATAAGATATAACATTAGAGACATTCTCGTTTAGGGATGGGGACAGGTCAAGTTTCGGTCAACCCAACCTGAAATTTTCACATCCTTCATCCACCCGACCAGATAATAAAAATAGAGATTTAATTGAAAAAATAATATATAGAGGGGTAATATTGTAATTATCCATAAATATATAAAATAAAATTATTTTTTCAGATCGGGTCGGATTGGATATTTTTTACCCTAAACCCGATCCTAACACAATCTCTAAAAATCTCTATATGAACCCAAATTTTTTTATATATAAAAAAACTCAACCCGCGGGTCGGGTCGGGTTCGAGTCTCATGCCCATCCCTACTCTCGTTCCTTTCCTTTCCCTCTAGATTAAATTAAGATTAGATTTAGAATTTGTAAAAAAAAAAAATAGAATATACGCCTTCATTGAGAATAAATATAGGCATTTTGAGTATTTTTTATTTTATGCTTCTTGTTACAAAAACATGAATCAGCTGACTCATCTCATGTCAACAAATGCAACACCAACAAGCTCTCTTCACTGTAATCACAACTTTTTTTATCAACAAATTCCACTTTTATTGATTATTCAATTTCGTATGTACTAAATTTTATAATTTCCTCTAATTTTTTAATACAATTTCTTAAACTCATCGCTTTCAACATAAATATTGCGTTCGTCCTTAATTAAATCTTTTCTCGGAACATGCTGCCATGCTTGCGTTGCCTAACCAGAGAATCCTTAATTATTCAAAAATGTCAATGACGAAAGTAAATTTTTCTATTGTTTGATGATCTAAACAGAAACATGCTAATAGTTAGGTGACTATGTCACGTTTATAAAATTTAATTTTTTATTAAATTTAAAAACTCAAAATTGTTATTTTATAAAAACCCAAAATCGTAAAAAAAACCCAAAAACACATTATTTTAAAACCCTAATTTTAATCTCTAACATCGCCAGTCGATATCAACACTGTTAATCGACTGAACAACTATTCGATCAAAAAATCACCCAATGGTCAAAATCCCTTATTTTTGCATTGATCGAACATCTAATGGCCATGTAAATACAAAATTTTGCGATCAACTGAAAAAGGTTCTCCACGCTGCAATCATCGATTTTTCCCTGCAATCACCGCATGAAGTCATGGATTCGATCGGTGGGGTTCGGGTAGTCCACATTGTAAGGATTTTGGTCGATCAGCGGCGTTGATGGCGTGGTGGAAAGGAATTGAAATTAGGGTTTAAAAAAATAAATTTTAAGTTTGAGTTTTTATTGAATAAATAAAAGTTACTTGATACGTTATATAACAGTATTTTTTAACATCGTTACAATATATACCTAAAAATATAATATTTAAAATATTAGACACAGTGTATGAAAAACATTGAAAACGAAATTTTTTTAAACATAAATTAAATTTATTGAGATTGCTGCTACTAAACAAACTGGAGGCTGGATGTCTTCAGAATCTTCAGCTCCTGCTACGCAATTAGGTTTGATTCAGGATATCTTTAATCCATTGAAATTGCTTGTTAAGTTTTGAGATTGTAGATTGGCAGGCTTCTTCAGCTCCTGCTACTGCATTAGGTTTGATTCAGGATATCTTTAACTCCATTGAAATTGCTTGTTAAGTTTATTGAGATTGTAGATTGGCAGGCTTCATGTTTAGCTGTTTACTGATCTTTTCCAACTTGCAATCCTTGTATTTAAATCTTTAATTATATCATTTTGACTAAAACTGAACACTTTATATTTGTTATCCTTTTCTCCTTTCGTTTTTGTTGTTGGGGAGGGTAGGTAGGGTGGATGGTTCGGTTTGTTTGGGGGTGCCTCCGTAATGATTTAGGAACATTATTTTGTTGTATGATCTCTAGATTTTTGGTATGGAACATCTTATTTCCTTTTGTTGTATTTACATATTCATATTGGTCGTAGATGGATGATTGACGATGAATACTTTCAAGAATCTGAGCAGTCAGTCAATTCAGGCAGGAGTATGAAATGCGGAGAATCAAACAGGCATGTCATACATGTTGGTTCCTATTCTTTATGAGCATCTTTTCCTACTTGAAGGAAGCTTGGTTGACCATTAACTGCACACACACATTTCTTTATCTATGATTTATTTTTTGTTTCTTTTGTCATCCATACAGGTCCGAGGTTTGGATATGATTTCAGAAGGTTCGTGTACTTCGAAGAACATGGCTCATGATAGGAATGAGGTAATCTGATTTGATTTTCATTTATGATTATTAATTATTTGTTATCTGTTGTTTTGTGAAGTTATTTAACATTCATGCAGATAATTGTATCCTGTGGTATCTGCAGCAATTAGATAGGCAAGTTCCTTTGATGGATGAAATTGATACCAAGGTGAACATTATGACCATCATCTTGTGTACATCGTAGGAACAGCTTGAATAATACAAATTTACAATATAAATTGTGTTCTTTACGCATTTACAGGTGGACAAGGCCGCGGCTGACTTTAAGAATACCAAGTTAGACTTAAAGATACTGTCACCCAGGTGATGATCATAACATCATTTCTAGTTTAGCATTGCTTTTGAAAAGTGCCATGAAAGAGTGTTCTAAGGTTGTGCTTTTTAAGTGTAGGTTCTCATCCTTTTCTGCTTAGCTCCTTTGTTGTTTGTAACATAAGTTATTGGTTGGTTCCAGTTGAGGTCCAGCCGAAAATTTCTGCATTGATATTGTATTGTTGTGCATAGTTCGGAATTGCTGCCAATTTGTACAAGTAAGACTCTATCTCATGCCTTCATTTAGAAAAGCTTCCATTTAATACTAACTGTAAGCCATGCCCTGTATTATAAATATACATACAGTTTCATTGTCATACTGCATGCTTCCAAAGATTTAATAATATTTGTTCAAGGGAGAAACTTCTGCCTTCATGGCTCTTCTTTAAATAAATTTCTAACAAACCATCATTACCACATGTGCAGACAATATCAGCTAGTGAGTGATCAAATCCTCTTAAGTGTGTTGCCTAGATGGGTTGGACAAATGCTTAGAACCCTCTACGGCGCATGGCATCGGAAGACACAAGATCGGGTTCTATCTTTATGCTTTTAGCACCCCTTTTTGCACTGGTTTCTTATTGTTGATGCCCTTTGCATTGCTTTTTACCGGTTCTGAACTTGAAGGATTAGTTCATGGTCTACTCTTCGGTTCTGTTCCCCCCCCTCTGGGGTGTAAAATAATTTTCGGATTTTTACGATGTTTTGGTCAATCCGAAAATGAATTTCTGGTGGACAAGGAATTTTCTTGAGATAAAACGGAATTTTTGGTGTTTAGGACGTCGTAATTTTGTTTTGGGCATGACAACAAAAAGAAAGATGATACATTTCAAGAACCTTGGAATCCCAATGATTTGGAGTTCCCAAGAGTGAAAATTTTGGAGTTTAGGTAACAATGTTTGAAGCAAGGTCTTGGTGCACCGTCATCCAGGTTGTCTTTGGTTCTTTTCTTTTCTTATATTAGCATCAGGGATTTAAATAGCGATCCACGACCGCGATATAGCGGTAGCGGTGTCCTCCGAAAATGCTATTATTTGACCGCGACACTCGTAGTCGTCGCAATAGCGTCCGCTATGCCCGCGATATAACAGTAGCAGTGCCCTCCGAAAACGAGACCGCGGCCTCGATTTGAATACCTGATTAACATCAGTGTAATATGATTCTATAACAGAAATTAAAAAACTTTTATGATTCTGTAACAAAAAATAGTGTGTAAACATGATGAAAAATGAATATATAAGAAAAACCCTAATTTTGTCACAAAAACATATTTTTACTTTCCAAATAATTGAAGAAAACTCAAATTTTAGGGTGGACACGAAAAATTTCAGGATGGACACCATCAATAAAATAAATAACTAATCGAAGAAAATTTAGATTTCATGGTGGGCACGAGCCCACCCTGACCCAGCTGTGGCTCCGCCGTTGATTGGCAAGCTTCAACTAAGAGATCAAAGGGTTACTTGATTGATCTCCAATTTTATTGATTTACCATATGTACTTATAATACCATGTAATATGTACATCGATACAAATTTCAATCTCCAATTTTCAAAAATAAAAATACTTGAGGTTTACTTGCAGAAATTTATAATCAGATAAATCAACAAGTCCCTCCATAATCATCTATATACCATAATTAGAATCCACTGTATATCTTCCTGTACCCCTAGTAATTACACACACATATTCAATATAAAACTATCTTGTTTACTCAGTTTCAGTGAAATCCAGGAGATTAAGTTCTTGATCCTGCATGATTGAACTCCATTGATCTGGACTGAAGTCACCATTTTCCAAGTGGTTTGATCTGTAAATGTTATCATTCTCCCTGAGCTTCTTGTTGCTGGATGGGACGAAACTAGTGGTCTGGGTACCTTCCATGGACTCTCTCTTCAAAGGGTTAAAGAGATTTTTTGGAGATGAAAACGAAATCTGCAGATTCTTGTTATCAGAATTGGCTTCCTGGACTGATGTACCAGATCTGTCACTTCCTTGGAAGCTGATGCTTGAGGCTGCATCAAAGCAATTGGGGAGGTCTTGAGATGCAAACATGTAGGGTAACATAGGGCAGTCATTGAATAGATAGGTTTTAGCCGTTTCAACACGTGAAGGCCATAGCTCATTGGGGTTGGGGACATAGAAGCTATCTGGTTCTTCATTTGTAATGTTTCTTTGTATGTTGTTGGCTTTTTGCCTCACTCGACAAAGCACCCAATCATCTAACTGTGCAACATGAAAAAGAAAAATCAGCACTTTTTGATCATATAAACTAGCCCTAAGCGGTAAAAAAACGAGTTCTCGAGTTTTCTAGTAATTATGTTTATAGGGTGCGTGATTCTTAACATATACTGCTACCTTATAATCACCCATAATGGAGGGGGGAACTAGCCCTAAATTAGTTCTTAGTCCTTACCCTCATAGACCCTTTTCGTTTAGGAGTCCAAATCATGGTTTCGAGGAGTCTATACTCGTTCATGATCCACTCAGTCTTGGTACCTTTAGGTGGGCGTCCTTTGTAGAATACCAGCGCTTTCTTCACTCCAATACTCTTGGTTCCACACGATGTTAGGATCGGTTTATCGGTTCCGGTCGCCTTCCAATACCCCGATACCGCCGCTCGATTAGGCCTCCCTCCATTCGGATACTTCCGATCCCTTGGAGAGAAAAAATACCATTCATCTTCTCCAAACAAAGCTTTATCTATAAACAAACACATCTATAGCTAATTAGTCAAGTTTACAACTTTACGAAACCTAATTATATATATATACAGACCTGGAAGCTCCCATGGATTATACTTGTATAAATCAATCTCAGCTATAATAGAAGCAGGAAGTGGCCTGGAAGTAACTTTGTTCTTCAAGTAATGAACTATGAGTTCTTCATCAGAAGGGTGGAACCTAAAACCAGGAGGAAGTAGAATAATTTCCGATGAGTTACCGGGAGATTCCTCCATCGTCGTCAAAGAAGAAGCCAACATTATTAGTGGGGATTATCAAATGAGAAGAACCCTTGGGATTGATGATCTCTCCTCCGATATTATCGATTCGAGAAAATTGTAAAGATAACAAGAGCACCGTGCATGGATTATATAGGGTGGGTTTTTTTTTCTACATGAAGATGTGGACGTGGTTTAAACTCTATTAAAAATTCTATTAAAAATTTAAAGTACGTAAAATATGAGAAAAAATAAAATTCAATTACTAAATTTATACTATTTTGATAAAATCCCTTAAACTCCTTGTGTAGGACAGTTTTTCTAAAAAAAAGCTTTAGTTTTATTTAATTTTGGGCAAAACTCCAAGAAACATAACATAAAGAAAAAAACAACCCGAGGTTAGGACCAGGGATGGATCGAGGGAGGGAGAGAGGGTGGGAACAGTTTCCCTTGAAATTTTAAAATTATCTTATATTTTAGATTTTTTTCTATATATTTTTAATGAAAATTTATTTTTACTCTCTTAAAATTTTATATTTTTAAGTTTACCCCTAAAATTTTATAAATTTAGAATTCACTCCTAATATAAAATCTATCATCCATTCCTGATTGGTACATGACAAGCCCAAGTTGATACCAGTGATTCCATTGCATGCATTTTTCTGCTGGAAATTGGAATCTATCTGTTTTTCTTTTCTCTTCCATTTTTTTATAATTTATTTTTGTCCTGAAAATGTCCCTTTCGAATCTATTCCAACTCTATATTTAATGAATAAATAAAAATTAATTTTTAATCTTTAAATTTGATATTTAAAAAAATTGGTTCTTAAACATTTTTAATTATTTTAATTTTTGAACTTGAAATATACTTATTTCAGGAAATATTTTTCAATGATTGATTCTTAAATGTTGATATTCATCGTAGTAATATTCGATGAAATTAATAAAAAATAGCATGACCAACAACCGATTGGTCTAGTGGGATGAGACACTAGATCCATTAAGTAAGGTCAGGGGTTCGAATCCTAACGTTTGCGAATGGAGCAAACTGGGTTGGGAGGGTCGCCTTTGCCTACTTTCATACAGTTCTACCTTAAAAAAATAAGTTGTTAAGTAGGCTGTTCATGGACGGTTATGAGATTTTTTTAACTGTAATCTAACTATTAAAAAATGGAAACACTAATGGTTAACCATTATTAACGGTTTGGTTACAGATTAACCTACAGTAAATCTATTATAATTTTTTGTCAATTTTTTTTCATAATTCATACTACAAAAAATGTATCATTTAACACATATTACACCGGTGTAAGTGAATACAATAAAAATAGTGTATCACTTAACACATACTTACACCGGTGTAAGTAACTAAAATAAAAAAATGTAACACTTAACACATACTTACACTGGTGTAAGTATATACATCTCTCAATATCTTAGTACATAACAATAAACATAAAATTATATTGGTGTAAGTATGTTTCTATATCTTCAAAGAAATGATTCGTTCGTTACATGCATTTCACATTTAAATGATTATATTTCTTGTGTATATTATTTTGTAGATTCGTTCGTTTATTATTTGCATGCGCCCAGTTATTATAGTTGACAGAGCACATTTGAAAGGTCGATACCTTGGAGTAAACTTATTATCAGTAGCAATGGATGCTAACAATGGGATACTGCCAATAGCTTATGGGGTTGTCAAATCTGAAACCTCTGATTCATGGACATGGTTTATGGGGCATCTTAGGGATTGCATAGGTCCTATTAGCAATCTAACAATCATATCCGATAGGGCAAACTCAATTGACAACGTTGTTAGAACGTGTTTCCCAGATGTTTTTCATGGACTTTGTGGCGTTCATTTGTACAAAAATCTAAAATCAAGGTCTGCTGGTATAAAAAAAATCATAAATGGACATACTGGAAGGCTGTAAAAGCTTATCGGAAAGTGGATTTTAATAAGCATATAAATTGTTTAAGACGTGTTTTGCCTCAATGTGCTCAAACACTTTAAGACGTGTTTTGCCTCAATGTGCTCAAACACTAGAAGATGTCGGGTTTGAAAGATGATCAAGAGTACATCAACTTGGAGCAAGATATGGTTTCATGACGTCTAATAGTGCAGAATCAATCAACGCTCTAAGTCGTCATTCCCGAAAATTACCCATTACTATGTTAATGGAGTTTTTTCGAGCCTCTATTCAATAGTGGTACTACAAGAAAAGAAACCATGCAGGTATGTTTCTTTAAATTAACTTATCATATTTATATTTTACTAAGTATTATTTATTTAAATTACAGGAACATTGGAACGTCGTGTTACACAATGGACTGAAAAAAGATAACGAAACGTATTGTAACGTCACGTCATGGAGAGTTGACCATGTTCAAACACTTGTTTGAAGTATTGGATAATAACTTAAATGTGTTGTCGATCTAATTGCAAAGACGTGTAGTTGTATGAAATGAAAAACATCTGGTTATCCGTGTGGCATGTTATAAAAGTTGCTTTCATCTAAACCAAGATGATTCAAGCGCATACGCTATGGATTGCTACTACAAAGTATATCAACAGACTTATGCCGAGATTGTCTACCCTATTCCACATCCTTCTGAGTGGGACATACCAGATGACTTACAAACAGTTTTGCCACCAGTCATGGACAGCAGGCTACCTGGCCGACCAAAAAATTACGATCGTATACCGTCTAAGGGTGAAGAGAAGAGGATATCGACATGTAGTCGGTGCAAGGAAAGTGGTCATACAAGGTTGACATGTGGATCACCAGTGCCATCACAATCATCTTTTCCTCTACCAAAATATGGATCCTCATCAAAATCCAAAGCTCATATGGTGCCAAGCAAAAGGAAATCAAAATCACAATCAAAATCATAATCACAACCAGCTTCACCTTTTGGAACATATTAACTTAGGTGATTTTTAAATGCAAACGTTGTATTATGTGTATTTTATGTGTGAATGCATACATTTTCAGTTAGACATGCATTAGTAACTTGAGTTTGAACATTGCTATGATCTGTTCAGTTGTTATCACTTATCATATTGTTGTCTGTTATCTTTTTGAAGGTGTTTTCCTTGAATTCGCAATGCGAAAGTCAAATTCACGTTGCGATTGTTGCGAATTTTACTTTCGCAACAATCGCAACGCAAATTTGACTTTCGCGTTGCGAAAGTGTACCTTCAACAGGTCTTTTTTGCCTTCAACATAATGCAGATTGAAATTTTCTTAAACAACATATCAACTTTTAAAAATCAATTAAACAAGCAAAAAACAATTCTTATTTACACATCTAAAAAAAACAAATTAACAGCACATTGATACAATTAGCCCCAAACAGCAAATTTCACGCAGCTCACTTCAGAATTAACCTGCATAAACCAAACATTTGCTCAAACAACACTTTCTACACATCTAAAACCAACAAACAGCAAATTATTGAATTCTAGGTACTTAACCAAACATTTTCAAACCAACAAAGAGTATATATGTTAACAACACTTGCTCAAACTTACCAATAACAAATGGTTGCTTATGCACACTTTCAGCACGCGGATGTAGGTAGGCAACATCTCGAATATATCGCTCTAGACATAAAATGACGAAACCACAACCCTACTGTACCTCTATCTCTATCTGTGGGAGGTAGAAACTGTTTACCTCCTGTCGTCAAACGTTCTAAGCACATGCATACAAGAGGACCACAATCCCCTCTGGCTCCCGCCGTTTGTTGTGGCTATGTCTCGTCTCTCATTATTGTAACTTTGAACTTTTTTGGCTTCTTGTTTCCAGAATTAGTCCAATAATCAATCGCATCCAAGTATTTAGCCAAATGAGCACTTCATCCCTTACAAATAATATCTTTCAAATCAGACAATGGTATGTAATTCAACATGCTGTCATATACTATCGTCTTCAAGGATGGGAGCCGAAGCTCGAAGAGAAGCCAATGACGATGTTCTATAACAGCGATAAACACCTGCAATCATAAATAATAATTCAATTGCACACATCAAATAAAATTTATGAACACCTTTAAAATATTCAAAAATAAATACTAACCTTATCGACCTCCCACTACGCATGATAAAGATTAGTTTTTCCATTACCCAACGCATATGAAGCATCTCTCTGATCCTTTAAGTGAGCTACGTGAAAAGACGAAGGCATAATAGTCCATCGCGTCTTTTTTAATTTCTTCAATTTCCTTATAATCTGAAGACGTAACACCCATGCATCAATACGTTGTGGATAAAAAATAATCAAAATGCAATATAAGAAGAATATAAGACTTACCCCCCATTCGAAATAGCCATTCTCTTCAACCCCTAATAAAACACCCCACCAAGACCGATCAAGAAAGAAATGCAATTATCGTCGATTTTGCATATGTCAGCGTAACAACCCTGGCTCTGCTCATGTAGATAAAAATCAACTGCGGTCTTAGCCCAAAGGATATTATCCATAATTATGTCTGGTAGTGTTCTCCTCTCCTGCTGAGGAATGGTATTGGTCGGTAACTCATACGAAAGCCAACTCTCATCCATCATATCGGGCACATGAGGGGGTTTATCAATATGTCAACATAGTATGCCATGTGAATCGGGCTCTTGAACGGTAGGAGGGACCTCTTGAACGATGATAGGGGCCTCTTGAACGATGATAGGAGCCTCTTGAACGGTGGGAGTGGCCTCTTGAATGATGACAGGTGAATCAGGCTTATTCTTACGGAGTCTTGGCACTATTGGGGTGAAAGGAGATGTAATGGCACGTGCACGACGTCTGATGCGTGAACCCCATCGTGCAAGAAAAACCCGACGTAAAGCATCTACCTTATCGGGCCGCTAAAAATAAATTAATACATAAACCAGTAAATAAATAAATAATGCCGAAAAAAGGTTATTTGCATTTTTAGTATAGTATTAAACAAATTTACCTCATTGCGTAGAGTATGAACCTCATCACATAAAGTAGATACCTCACCACGTAAAGCACCATTGTTATCGCGTAAAACAT